TGTTTCAGAAATGTGCTCATTTGCATTTTCCTGAGGAAGAAATTACAAAGCTTTTAGCAATTTTTCAAAGTTGTATATAATCTCAAAAGGCCAAGAACCCTTGGGTTCACAATAGCTCCAGAAAACACCAAGTGGCTTGAGGAAAGACAACAAGGCAGTCTTTCTCTTTCTAAGCAGAACTAAGCTCATGCTTTCAACATGTGACTTACTATCCACAGCCTCTTACTTTTTGAATCTTACATCTTGGCTATAAATCTATGTTTTTAGTTTAGATCTTTCATACACTTGCAACTTTGATTGCTTCCTATAAACTGGAGCACAGTTAAACATGAATAGAGACTTTCGCATTTCAGAGGTGACCAACTGATAAGTCATTTGGTCCACTATTCTGAACTATAAAAGACTGGATAGACTAAGCAGAGTTGTGTACCCATGAAACTATAGGGACTAAACCTCCAAATCAGGCTAGATAATCCAGAGTTTTAGACATTCAATTATTTGTCAGCCCCAGTGCACCAAAACAATTTAAAAAATGGTTGATTCATTGATCTATTCAACACATAATTAAAAAATTCCTAATATGTGCAAGGCATTATGCTGGGCACTGGCGATACTGCTCTGATCAATCTTTGCTTTCATAAAGATTAAATTCTACTTAGGGAGAAAAACATAACTAATCACACAATTATAACTGTGAAAAATGATGCTACTGCATCATAGTATAGAGGCACATTCCTAGTTTGCAGGGGTACGATAGAGAGATGGAAGGAAAGGCTTTTTTGAGGAAGTAACCTGAGAGCAAACCCAGAAGCCTATGATGTTGGTTACTACAGATGACTCAGAAATATGTATCTGCAGCCTACACCTCTTTTTTTTTTTCCGGCATATTATAGGGGTACAGATTTTAAGGTTTCAATAAATGTCCATTTCCCCCCTCCCCCCACAAGTCTGAGTCTCCAGCATGACCATCTCACAGATGGTGCACATCTCACTCATTATATATGTATATACCCGCCCCCCTCCCCCCTGCCCAATACCCTATTACTGCAGTACCTATGTGACCACTTAGGTGCTGTTCAGTTAATACCAATTTGCTGGTGAGTATATGTGGTGCTTGTTTTTCCATTCTTGGGAAACTTCACTTAATAGTATGGGTTCAAGCTCTAACCAGGAAAATATGAGATGTGCTATATCACCATTGTTTCTTAGAGCTGAATAGTACTCCATGGTATACATATACCACATTTTATTAATCCATTCTTGGGTTGATGGGCACTTGGGCTGTTTCCACAGCCTTGCAATTATGAATTGTGCTGCTATAAACATTCGAGTGCAGGTGTCTTTTTTGTAGAGTGTCATTGGATCTTTTGGGTAGATGCCCAGCAATGGGATTGCTGGATCAAATGGTAGATTCATTTGTATCGCTTTAAGGTATCTCCATATGGCTTTCCACAGAGGTTGAACTAATTTGAAGTCCCACCAGCAGTGTAGGAGTATAGAATTTTTTTATTTCCATCTTGATTTCTTCATTTATGAAGTAATCATTTAGTAGGAGGTTGTTTAATTTCCACGTTTTTGTGTAGAAATGTGAGTTTCTGTTAGGGTTGATTTCTACTTTTATTCCACTGAAATCTGAGAAGGTACATGGTATGATTTCTATTTTTTTAAATTTCTTGAGATTTACTTTGTGTAGATCTCTAGGATATGGTCAATCTTAGAAAATGTCCCCAGCCTACACCTCTTTGCCAAGCTCCAGACTAAACTATTCAGTAGCTAACTTGATACCTTCTCTTTGGACACTCCAAGGTACTCCCTAATTCAACATACCCAAAAATGACTTCCTAGTTTACATTTTTTATAATAAAATGTAAAATAAAATGGGGGCTAAATGAGTTCATAAACTTTCCTCCTAAATGTGCATCTCTCCCCACACCCCTCCAGATACAAAGCCTAGAAGCCAGGGTCAATGTAAATACCTCCACCTTGCCTTACTTCCTAAATCTACCATCAAGTCCTGTCCATTTCACCTCCTAGGCCTCTCCCAAACCTGTCTTCTTCATCTTCCCTTACTCTCCCACCTCCATATCCACCCACCTCCTCCCAGCTACCAACATCCCAGCTACCCATCTATTTCATCTGGACTTTCTCTCAGTTTGGCCCTGGCAGGAAACAGAAGACACTCAGCCAAAATTTGAAGATAATTAAAAGAAGGTTTACAGAGGTGTGGACAAGGAAACTAACAAAAGGCATTGAGGCACCCAGGGACTAGAAAACCATATTCACCTCTAACACTGAAGGGACAAGGGGAAGAAATGTTTTATTGGAGCCTGGAGAGAATTGGAGCCCCAGGAGTTGCCTGAGGAGCTGTTGGCCACTGGCCACTGTATCGGTCAGATGGTGCTGAAATGGAAGGAATTCCCCAATCTCTCTTCTCTTCTATTGACTAAATAGAACCTGAATCTGGAAGGCAAGTCTGAGTGATGTCATCTTTTGGGGTCAGTCTCTGGAGCATGGAGAAGGGCAGAGAATGGATTCGGGAGGAGGGGAGAATTTACCCACATCCATGCTTGCCTTTCCCCAAAATACCTTCTACACCAGGGTTGGCAATTTTTTTCTGTAAAGGTCCAGATAGTAAATATTTTAGGCTTTGTAGGCCATCAGGTCTCTATCACCAACTATTCTGCAGTTGTAGCACAGAAAATACATAAACATATGAGTGTGATTTTTTTGTGTTTTGATAAAATTTTATTGATAACAGATGATTTTCATGTAATTTTCATATCACAAAATATTGTTTTGATTTTTTGAAAATGTAAAAACCACTCTCAGACTGTACCAAAGAATGGCAAACTGGATTTGGCCATGGGCTGTAGATTTCAGACTTCTGTTCTACACTGCAGCCAGTGAACTTTGTGAAACAAGTCAGTTCACCTGACCTCTACTTGAACTTTTACACATTCCCATTGCCCTTAGGATAATAACCCAAATCTTTCAGGTAGTCTATGAGGACTGCATGGTCTGGCCCCTGCATACATGTCTATCCCCACTGTCTATACTTCAGCCACAAGGGCCTCTCCAGGTTCCTCTTAATCACCATCATGCTATCTCTGCATGTTCAGAACACTCTTCTCCACCCTCCATCTAGTCCATTTCAGATCTCAGCTCACTGCAGCATTATAATAGCAAATAACAAACCAAAGAAAAGGGGGGAATATAACATTCCAAACAGTAAGGAAATAGATAATGGAATACCAGGCAGCCATTTTATAATTGTAGATTAATGAAAAAAAATGTTGATGAGATATTAAGAGAAAACACTCATGTTACAGTAATGTGTATCATGTCATATTGTTGTAATATATTTATACACATATACACAGGTAAAAACAATTCTGGAAGGGAATGCTCCAAGCTATTGTCAGCAGAAAAAAACTCCAAATTCTGTAAAATAATTGAAAGACGTTTATTCCGAGCTGAATATGTGATACAGTCCAGGGAACATGGTCGCAAGAGGTCTTGAAAGAATATGCCCAAGGCAGCCCAGTTAAAGTTTGGTTTTATACATTCATGGAGATAGGAATTACAGCTAAAACCATAAATCAATACACGGAAGGTATACATTGGTTCATCCAGAAAAGGTGGGATATCTTGAAGGGGGACTTACAAGTCATAGATTGTTTTAGAGATTCTTTGGTTGACAATTGGTTAAAATAGGTAAGCTTTGTCTGAAGACCTGGACTCAGTAGAAATGAATGCTTGCTTGAGTTAAGATAAGGGTTTGCTAGGATGCTTGAGTTAAGATAGAGTCTTCTCTCTGTCATGTGATGCTATAATGGAATCAGGTTGGAAAGTAAGCCACATTATACTGGGTTAATAAAAACTCATTTAATGAGATTTTATCGTTTGTAATTGTGCCTTACCAGGCCTCTTAGAAAGGAATTTGGGCAAGAGAAGAAAAAAAGTCAGAGTTCAGTCTTCACTGTCCAGAGTGGTAATCCCTGGGAAATAACGATTATCAGTTGTCTTTTCCTTTTTGCTTACCTACATATTCTAAAACATACATGTATTAATTAAGAAAAATCAATACAAGTTTTAAAAAAAATCAAGTTACCTAAGAAAAAAAACCCAGAATCTCAGGTGAATATGTTAAAAACCTATAGGAGAGATTGTAAAGGAGAGGTTTTTCACAGTATGATCTAATTCAAAACAAAATTTACAAAATATTCAGTTTCCTAAAACCACTCAGCATGAATGTGTAATATATTCGTGGACATACTTTAGTTCCCAGGCTTTGATATTAATTTTAACAAACTTTCAAAGGGTAGCTACTTTCTCCATTTAAAAAAATAAAGTAGACTGAGTAATTTTTCTTCAACTTGAACTTAAAACATTAACCCCAAACTCAATGCCTTAAAAATCAGTGACTAATACCCACTAACATTTGTGCAGCACATCAATGGTAACGCTGTGCCACTCTATCAACAGTAATCACCTCAACAGAAGAGCAGACAACTACGTACGCAAGTAAAACTAATTCCCAACTAATGAGCACCGTTCTGAGATCAGTGGCCACAATGAATAATTTTGAAATTGCCATCAGAATTATGCAAAGATAACAATCCTGAGGTTTGATTTTTACTGAATATCAAGAACAAGATTATTCAAAAAGGCACACAAGATGCCAAACTAAAACAGAGAAACCCCCCAAATCGTTAGCACTTCCCTCTAAAACCTATCCGCCCCCTACTACAGTCCCTTCTTCTGGCGCTGGCTGGTCCTCGTTCCCGTTTCCCCCAGTTGATGGAGGGCAGCGCTCGTTTGCTGCAAGCCCAGGGACAGGTCGGCGAACTCCTCTTTCAGGTGTTCCGGGCCCCGCCCCCGGCCCACCAGGCCCCGCCCCCGGCCCACCAGGCCCCGCCCCCACCAGGCCCCGCCCCGCTCCTGTCTGTTGGCTTCTCCCACCCTCCGCCCGAGTGTGACGAGCCCGGCGGCGGGGGAGGATCTATTGCGCACGCCCAGGGCGCCGGCCCGGAGCGGGAGAAAGGCCGCGGAGGCGCGCCGGAGACTATGGAGCGCTATGTTCGGCGGGATCCTTTCCGGAAGCGGAAGCTCGGGGGGCGGGCCAAGAAGGTCCGGGAGCCCAAGGCGGTTAATTCTTTTTATAGTGTGGCGTGTCTTCCCTCTGCCTGGGCTTTTCTGAGGCTTCGAGAGATGGTCAGGTCCGCATCTCGACAGGGCCAGGTGAGGGCTGCGGACCCTCCGTGGAGGGCTGCGGAGTCCACCGTGGAGGTGGAGAGGAACTGAGGGGGTTTTCGGGCAGGGGGACTTGCAAAACTCTACTTGGAAAAACAAAACAAAGGCGAGCAGGTACAGGGCAGTGGGGGCGCACTGACTCCCCCTTCTCACCCATCCGCTCGGTCCGTTGATGTATGTTCTGTATAAATCGTCGTAGCCCTCTAGAGCGCTGGCTGTGTTGTCAGGCCCGGGTTCGAGCCTCAGCCTTCGCCGCTGGGTCGAGTGTGACTTAACCTTTCCTAGCTTCAGTACATCGTTTTTGTAGTCACAGTCACCCGCAAATTCAGATTCCGGTTCTGCCTCTACTGTTGTAGTGACGGTAGGCAAGGAACTTTTTACTTCTCTTAGCCTCCATCCTTAGCTGTAAAATAGGCATAAATAGGTATAAAATTCTGTCTTAGAGAATTGGGGAAATTAAATGAGAGAATCTATAAAAACATCTGTCACATAGTTGGCATAGACATGTGCATAAACAAAATTTAATTCCCTTAAAAACACTGCTACCATCTTAATAACAGCAAACATTTATTATGTGGCAGGTGCTTTTATATATGACATAGACTATGTCATTTAACATTCTCAGTAGTCTTATGAGGTAGATACTATTATCCCTATTTCATTTTAATTTTTTAACTTATTTTTTTTCTGTCTCCACTGCTTAAATCAGAATGTTATCCCCATTTTATACATGAGGAAATTGAGGGTGGAGAGTTCAAATAACTTCCTAACAGTTACACAGCTGGTTAGCTGAGGAAACAGGACTCATACATATCTGGTACCAGAGTCCATGCTTCTTTTAAACATTACACCATACTAAGTAGATATGTGAGTAAACAAGACACCTTTCTGAACTTTAAGTTCCCACCTCACAGAAATAATGACAGCTCACAGGTTGTAGATAAGTGGAAATGAAAGGCCTTAGTACGCTCTGAATCATTCTACAAAGGTATCAGTATCTTGTACTTGTTGGTAGGAGAAATGATTACTCAGAAATGCTTATATTCTCAAGTAGCAACATTAAAAGTTAATACCAAGTGTAAGTAAATGTGAAATAAACTGAATCTCTCTTGTGATTTGGGACACTCCTTTTGGAGAGCAGTTTTGCAGTTTGTATCATGGGTCATTAAACTTCCAGTAACATCTCACCAAATAATTATGCTTTTCATTCTAAATATGAAAAAGATATTTTTAGTATATGGAAAGGTTATTCCAGGTTATTCTAGGTTTTTTAATTATGAAAAATATGAAGGAAACCAAGATCATATTATTTCCACGAAAGAGAATATTATACCACCATTAAAATTTTGAATGTTAATAAGGAAAAAGATTCAAAATACACAAGATTCAAAATTGCAAATGTCTAGCTAGAGAAAAAAAGGCATATGAAAAAAGATTGGAAGCCCCAATAGCAAAGAGCACATCGAGAGCCTAGATCTTAGTTTCTAAGTTCCATTGTCCGCTAAAAGGAACATGGTTTCTTGGAGAAATTACCAATGCAGGAGCTAAGGCAGGGGAATTATGAGTCTGGATACATCAAACTAAAAAGCTGCACAGCAAAGGGAAGGATTAACAGAGTGAAAAGGCAACATACAGAATGGAAGAAAACATATGCAACCCATATATCTTATAAAAAGTTAATGTCTATTATGTATGTAAGAAGCTCCTACAACTCAAAAGCAGAAAAATAAGTAACCCAGTTAAAAAATAAGCAAAGGATTCGAACAGAGATTTCTGCAGAGAGGACATATAGATGGCCAACAGGTATATGAAAAGATGATCAACACTAATCACCAGGGAAATGCATATTAAAACTCACAATGAGATATCACCTAACATCTGTTAGGATGACTTATTAAAAAAATGAAAATATTGGCAAGGATTTGGAGAAATTGGAATTGGAACCCTTGTACACCATCAGTGGGACTGTGAAATGGTGTAGCCACTATGGAAAACAAGCAATCCTACTTCTGGGTATTTATCCAAAAATATTGAAATCAGGATATCAAAGAGATATTTGCACTCTCATCTTCATTGCAGCATTATTGATGATAGTTAATATGTGGAAACAATCTAAATGTCTATCTACAGATGAATGAAGAAAATATGGTATGCCAACTAATAAATGTAGACAGAATGATGTAGTTAGAAAATCACCATCTGACAATTGATTCAGGCAAGAATCATCAATGGATGCTAAAACTACTGGGTAAAAGTTTGATAATTAGGATATTTACATAGTCTAAACTATCTTCCCACAAAATGCTTAAACATAAAAGTAGTAATGCTTAAACATAAAGTAGTATGATGAAAAACCTGGTAAACACCATCTTAAATAATCAAAAGTTTGTATCAACAGTAATGGGACAAACTGATAATCATATGTCTACTGATTGTATTGAGAGGGAGACAATATATCTTTAGTGGATTCCTGCCAAAAATGCATAATCTGAGTCTAATCATGAGGAAACATCAGACAAATCTAAATATCCATAGGGACATCTATGTAATAACTGGCGTGTACTCTTTAAATATGTCAAATTTATAAGAGAATGAATGACAGCCAGAGGAACTGTTGTAGATTCAAGGAGACTAATGAGCTATGACAATTTAATGCAATGTGATCCTGGATTGGACATGGACCAGAGTTGTTTTTTTCCCTATAAAGGACAATATTGGGATTATTGGCAATATGTGAATAAAGTCTGTACATTAGATCATAACACTATATCAGTGTTAATTTCCTGGTTTTCATAATTAATGCTGTAGTTATAGTAAAGAATGGCTTTCTTCTTAGGAAATATTTAGGAATAAAGGAGTATTATGTCTGCAATTTACTCTGATGTGGTTCAGACAAAAAATAATGCTATGTATATATATTGAGAGAGAATGTGGCAAATACAAAATGTCAAGAGTTGTAGAATCTGGATGAAACCTACATAGGACTCCTTTGCACTAATATTTCAAAAGAAAAAAATACAAAACAATTGGAAAGAAATGTTCCAATGTGATAGTTACTGTTTCAGGGTGCTTTTATTATGGGTAATTATCCTTACCAGATTTTCTATAATATAGCCTTATGTATATATTTTAGAGAAAATACCATATATAATTTTACAGTTATGCCAGACATAGACATTTATTTCAGTATACTTTTCTTTTAATTTTGAAAGATAATTATGGTAGTTGTTTTGGGACTTGATCTGGGATATAGTAGCACCATTACTTGGATTTTTATTATGATTACAGCTGGGTCACCAATATAGATAGACCAAAGTGAAAGACCCTGAAAGTGTGGTGCAGAGACCAGTGAACTACATTACACAAGGTCTCATTTCCTACAGTGTTGGTTCTCCCTGCTGACTTCATGAACTTTCATCATATTCCAGGTTATCTCAAGGAAAAGTATAACTCTCATCAACCTAGTTTTAAAAAATATATTCTGAGTAACATTCTTAGAAGGACAGAGTATATATTTAAGTAAATAATAGAATAGTATATAACTTCAGAAAGTTTGACAGGTACTGTTCAAAGCCATCTTGGGATGAAATATATAAACATGTAAAAAAATTATAAATGAAACTGCCAACAGTTACAACATCTGAATGGTGGAATGAGGGGAGAATTAGGTACTTTAACTCATGTCTGTTTAAAATTATATTTTGGAGCAGGAGCAACTTCCTACTCTCCACCTGGACTGCTTCCAGGACATCATTCACCATCAAGTTCAACATGATCAAAAGTGCTTGGCAACACTTCCTAAGAGCATTCTAGCAACACTTTTCCTTGTTCTGTTGTACAGTTTTCTCCAACAGAACACATGCCGTATCATAGCTGTATGTTCTCCCATATCTTCCTCTGTATGACAAGCTGCCTGGGGCCAGGGGCTAAGTCACAGACCTTTCTAACCCTAGGACCAGGCATAGGTTAAGTCTGTAGACCGAACTGAGTAACTGATCATGAATAAAAAGAAATAAAAAAGTAAAAAAAAATAAAATTATATTTTGAATAGAGATTATATTTATCTGACATAAAGTTATTAAGATATAAAAAAGTATACCATGGAAAGTCTCTATCTCCCAGATACTCAGTTTTTCTCCCCATAGGCAACCACAATTAACTGTTTCTTATATAACTCTCAAGATATTGGATACTTGTAAAAGCAAATGCATATTTTTTCCTTTTGTTCCACACAAAAGGTGGCCCATTTATGTTACTTTTAAAGCAAAAATAAAATTTTTAAAAATGATATTGCTATATGAATTTCAAAAGAAGATTGAAAGAATGAGATGTTTATAAAGAATTTTCAGATGCTGCTCTTGTCAGGCATTCTAAAGAAGGTAGATAAATGGAACCAGATTTAAGAACTCTATCCTATGTTTTGAACTAACTCGTATGTTTCAAAGAATTTGGGAATGTAGAACATGTTTATGGATTGATATAGTATGGACTTATTGCAGTAGGTTCTTCTGATTTAAAATAATAACTTCCTTTTCAGCTTAAATAGACTTAGTAGTAAATATATGTTACTTGCTTGACAAATTTAATGTACAAGAGTTAAATTATAATTTTGGATATTTAGGTTATATCACATTTATTAAAAAATGAATAACATGGTACATACATATAATAGAATATTATTCAGCCTTAAAAAGGAAGAAAAATTTTGATACATGCTACAGCATGGATGAAGCTTGAAGATGTTATGCTAAGTGAAATAACCAAAGGGGACAAATAATATATTATTCCACTTATATGGGGGTCGTAGAGTAGTCGGATTCATAGAAGGTAGAATGGTGGTTGCCAAGGGCAGGGGGAAGAGGGTATGGGAAATTATTGTTTGATAGGTAAAGTTTCAGTTTGGGCAGATGGAAAAAACAAAGAAGAAAAATGAATGACCTTTCAGGTTTTGTCAGGATAGCATATTGAAAATATAAAAGAAAAATATTCGTATATCTAGTATAATATAATACATTATGTCATAGGTGTTATCTTCAGGAGGGCAAGCTGGACCTACTAAATTAACAAATGGGAAGAAAGGGTAAGTAAGAAGTTTACAACTTCAGGAAATTTCAATAAATTTTTCAGGTCTTTGGACTGGACTACCTTTTGCCTACCGCAGAAAACTAGATGGGCCTCTACCTTTCACAAAATCTAGGGAGTAAGTTTTCATAGCTGCCCACGTTAATCATTTTAGTGTTTAATAGTCTATAATCTTCATAAAGTCCTTATAAATCCATCTTATAATTGGTTGAACAATCTTTCGTGTCTAACCTTTGCTGGAAAGAAAATGACTACTTACTAATATATTTTGGGAAAAATGTATTATTTGTAAGAATATTAATGAGCTTCTTTTCTAGGACCCATTTAAGAAAAATATCACGTTTTAATGCACATTCTGGCTATTCCATCCATTCTGATTCAGAAAGTCAGGTAAGATTAAACTGAATAGATACAATATAAACTATTTTAACCTTGAGGTAAAAGCTAAGAAGTATGAGTAAAAGGCAAAGGTAAAGTATTAGTTGCTCTAAACAAGTATAAAGTCTTGCTTGAAAATGTTTTCTACTAATAAAAATTGCTTGTAAATAAAGAAATTTTAAAACTATGTAATATGTTTTTTCCTAGAATAAAATGTTTATACAAATGTATTCTAAATGACTTTCTCCTTACAGGCTGAAACTGTACAGGGGCTCGATGGTTGTGCTTCTTTGCTGCGGGACATTTTGAGAAACGAAGATTCAGGTTTTTTTTGAAAAATACTTCCTTGCTAACCTCCTTTTCTTAATGAAGCCGTTTGTTCAATGTTAACGAATTTTTGTTTTAATTATTAATAGGCTCAGAAACAGCATATTCAGAAAATAGATCTAATCCTAGACCTTTAGAAGGCAAAAGATATGGATCTAAAAAGAAAGGATCTGAAAAACATACCATTCCTTTGGGAGTCCAGAAGGAAACGAGTAAGCATTTTTTTCTCTTATTTAAAGATAATCCTTAATTGTGGGGATTTTGATAAATTATCAGTATTATGCAGTTGTCTTTCATTTTAACAATTGGTATTGGTTATTTAGGTTTGTGTGTGCTTATGCTTTTCTTTCTCTCTTCAGCTTCTAATTACTGAGTAGTCGCTTTGCTTACTGTTACTTTCCCAAGAAGGAAAGTAAAAAAAGAGACTATGTCTGGGTTTTCTAGGAGAAAAGAACCAAACTCAGAATGACATTTGGGAGTTATATAGAGGTATCTTTGTTTCCTTGGCCACTTGTTTTCATAGATAATCACAAACTGGTTGCATTTAAAGTGTATACTTATAGTTATTGCTTTAAAATTATATGTTTACCTTAGGTTGACCAAGAGCTGAACCTGTTGAGCAGTACAGTTAGGATACATAGTACATAAGAAGGTAAAATTTCAGGTTGGATAGATAAAGAAAGAGAGCCTGCCACTGATTGATGGAGAATGTAGCCAAGGGTATTTTTATATCCTCACAGTTAACTTTGCTGATTTAATTAAGTGTAATAATTTAGCGATAAATTCAGAACAAGCAAGTTTTGATTATGTTGTCCCTTAGAGGCCTATAGAACAAGATAGCCCAAAATGGAGATGAAAAAGTCCACAATGGAAATTCAGATGGACAAGAATTAGACTATTAAACAGTTCCACAGTTAAGGTCGGCCAGAAATGTCAGCACTGTAGTATGTCCTTAGATTCAGTTTGAGCAAGAGGAAGAATCTAGAATATCATCTAAGGCAGTATCCCTGAATATTAAGAGATCAGGGTCCAGGTAAAGAGGCTGAGAAAGTGAGGGTGGAGCATTCATGGGATAGAAGTTGATGTTCCAGATGGTCCTGAGTTAGAGAACTAAGGCAGGGGAAATAGTTTATTTCAGTCCTTACTGACCCATCTTGGAGGCCATTTGCCTTCATATAATCTTCACCAGCACTGTTTAAGATGGTAGCCATTAACCACATGTGGCTATTAACCACTTGAAACATGACTAGTGCAATTAAGGAGTTGAATTTTTAATGTTATTTAATTTAAGATCATTTAAATTTGAAAAGTTATTTGATCCAGTTATTTTAAAACGTATAAGTGTGTTTAGAATAACTTAGGTATGTGAATCTACTTTTTCAACTAAATTCTATTAAATTTAAATACAGAGCAAATATTTCTGATGAAAATTTTGTGTCCAGATTGAGATGTACTTTGTTTAAAATACATGCTGGATTTAGAAGATTTAATACAAAAAATAAAATATCTCAGTTCCTTATCTTACACATTGAAATGTTACTGTTTTGGACATATTGATTTAAATAAAACATGAAAAGTAATTTTACCTATTAGTTTTACTTTTTAATATGGCTATTGGAAATTTAAGTTACATATATGAATTGCATTATATTTCTATTGGACAACATTGGTCTAAATTGGGTCAGCATACTGCAGCCAGTTTTATGAGTAATGTTTAGTTATTTTGTAAATAAAGTTTAAATGTTTTCTTTGGCTGCTTTTGTGCTGCAGTGGCAGAGTTGAGTAGTTGTAACAGAGATCATCTGGCCCACTAAGCCTAAAATATTTACTTTCTAGCCTTTTAAGAAAAAGTATGCTAAATCTTGGTCTTAACTCTTGAAGCAGAAGCCTATTTTTTGGGGCCCAGTGGAGAAAGAAAGGAGTGGTAGCACCTGTTCCTCCAGTCTCCTACTTTTTGCCTCAAGGCAGGTTATTTCTTATCCAGAGCATTCTTCCTCAAGGAACTCCCATTTGGGATGTGTGTGGCTGACAGTGGGTGCCATGGTAGCAACTTGTTGGATCCTGACTTAACTGCTTCTGTCAGATTTTGAACAAGAAACAGATGGCAGCACTCAAATTGAGGTAATTGGAGGAAAGTTCATTTATAAGGGGACTCACTGCAAAGGTATGGGTAGGCAATAGGAAAACCAAAAGGGGTGGTGGCTAGTGCTAGCAGCAGCAACAGAGCTGTTATCATCTCTAGGCCTTGAGGGATTAGGAGGGGGGACATTACTGGATTCAGGAAGAGATGCTGTTTATAGAGTAGGTTGCCTTGAGAAAAGCAGTGAGCTTCATTGAAAGCCAGCCCAAGGTTGCCTAATAGAGAAGGAGCAAAAATAAATACATACTCTGAGTTCATGCTTCTTCCTTTCCTTGAAATGCCAAGACTCCTATTGGATTAAACCCAGATGAAGCCCTTCTGATGTATATAAGTTCTGGGATTTTATTCTTACAAGCTAATAAGTTAGTCCTACTGTGTCATGGATGCAGGCAGAAGCCACAAGGCTACTGGGTCAGAGACAGAGGACTTTATTTCTCACAGTGCAGCAAGCAGCATGTATGTCAGCATATTTGCATTGGTTTCTCCCTCACCCCCAATCACGTTGGGGTGATTTGATGGACTCGCATGGATGCCATGCATGCTGTAGGTTTACATTGCAGCTGAGGAACACTGAGCTTAGGTAATCTGTCACTTTGATAGTAAACAGTAAGCAAGCCTATACTTGTCCTAGCGGGAAACATTACCTTATCCCTCAAGGTTGCTCACAACAAATACAACCCTAAGAAATAGCCCAGGCAAAGAACTTAGGTCAAAGCCTTGCTTTCTTGATATGCACAGAAGGACATGTAGGAGCAGGAGAGACAGTCTTTGAACAATGTAATCGATATAGATTAGCATTGAAGGGAAAGCAGGGTAGAGACCAGTAGAGGATGGATTTCAAGTGGCAGATGAAAGATTCTGGCATTCAGGGTCCCTAGCATTAAATTCTTATTTGGATTAGAGCCAGATCATCAATTCTGGCCTGTGATCAGGGCACAATATTCTTATTGCTCTTTCCCCCATATTTTCATTATCAGAAGAAAGGACCTACCTCCATAAGACAATCTTCTTTAGTGTTGCAATATTAGAAGTTAGTTCTCATTGACTTATTTACTTGTAAGTTTAACTCATTAGAAGATTCCTTCTCTTTGATTCAACTATTTTATTTAAGAAAAATTTACCAAATTGTAGCACCATCTAGAAAGAAACATGTTTTGTTTATGTGTGCGCACACACATATGTGTGTGTGTGTGTATGTTTATGTGCTTGGCCAATGTTAACTAATACAAAGTTTTGCTGTGTTATCACAATGCTCAATAATACACAAAAACGATGGTCATCACTTGCTCTCTTTTCCATCTCTCTCCAAGTGAGGTAATCAGAACTGTAAGGAATCTTTTACAGCATGTTAAGTAGTATCATTTATTTTTAACATACATTGTCTTGCTATTTTGTGTTAACTGATTTCTGGGGCATGCATCCTTATGTACATTCTGTCTGGGAAATACCTGATCATTGAATGTCTTATGGAGTCAAGTAAGCTCACCTTGGTACATTTTGGGAGTAAGGAGGCAGGCAGATCCAGAAATATATTGTGCTTACTTGGGAGTGCTTCTGACATGAAAAAAGAATTAAAAAAAAAAAAAAAGCAATTTTTTACATTTGATAACTCTATTGAATGCATTCATGATTCTCCTTTGGTAACATACATATAATGCTGCCTTCCTCTTGGGGAAATAAACTACCATAGGCAGAATCCTTTGAGTATTGAATGCCTGCGTCAAGGCCAGGTGTTCTTCATAAGTATTTCCATTTATAATAGGCTTCTACTGGGTCTTATCTGCATTGGATGTTTGTTCTATTTTGGGTGGCAGGAATAACTTACCTGTCAGACAGTGCTTGTCCATCCATGCAACAGCCAGTGCTTATACAGCAGCTAGTATGAAAAAGTTTCATGGACTGAATAAATAGATGCATTCCTTTCATGAATTCTAGTTATCAACTTACACCAATTAAATACATTGCCATCCCGATCTGTTAGGTAAAATTTTCATGTGGGGTGCTTTGGTGTAATTAACATGAGCAAGAAAATATACTTCATTTGTATATGTATAGTAACAGACTCATTTTGTTGTTATTTTATTTTAAAATTGTGTAGTAGTAATATAACTATAATCTTTCCTGTATATCCATTTATGGTTTCTAGCTTGTCTTAGATCATTTGCTTTAAGACTTTATACATTAAGTACACATATTCAACATTATCAGCAGTTTCATACGGACTGAGTTTATAAAGGAGCAAAATAAGTTGTTTTGATTCTAAGGATTTGATTTTTAAGAAATATGGAGTTTATTAATTTATGTTGGATGATGACATCTGCTGGTAGAGGCATAATATTGTAGCTCAGCTTTATCAGAGACTCTGAAAACCACCCCTTGACAAGAAGGTAAATGAGAGCCAATGTCTGTGACCGACTCAGGAGTGTGAATTCAGGAGTGTGAGAATTCCTCAAAGCAGACAATTCTTACCTTAAGGGACCAAAGGAAATTCAAGAGCAGAAGAGAGACCTAAGAATCAAGAGGAAAGGTCAAGTGATAGCTGGATAGTCACAGACTATGATCTCACCCTTCATAATTTTAGATTTCAAAGTTCAAATATTTTAGAGGATACTTCTCCACTTGATTTATTATAAAATTGTATTTCCAATAAGAAATAATACTTGCTTTACAGAAATTTATTAACCAGTTTTGTTTTAGCTCATCTGTTCAGATAGTGAAGGTAACTACTTTGGTTAAATCACATCAGAGGGGACGTGTTCAGAGGTATATTATTGATGTCAGCAAGATTTATGAATATGATATATTTGCTTATCTAAAGTGTTTGCAGCTATTTGGTAATGTAATATTTACTGAATTTTTACTGTGTATTAGATGTTGATCTAAGGACTTTACAAGTCTTGTCTCATTTACTTCTCAAAGTAATCTTATAAAGTGGGTGGGGTTTTTTGTGTCGTCGTTGTTTTTGAGACAGAGTCTTGCTGTTGCCTGGGCTAGAATGCCGTGGCCTCAGCTTAGCTCACAGCAAGCTCAAACTCCTGGGGCCAAGCTATCCTTCTGCCTCAGCCTCCCGAGCAGCTGGGACTACATGTGAGCGCCACCACGCCCAGCTAATTTTTTCTATTTTTAGTAGAGACGGGGCCTCACTCTTGCTCAGGCTGGTCTCGAACTCCCAACCTCAAGTGATCCTCCTCCCTCAGCCTTCCAGAGTGCTAGGGTTACAGGTGTGAGCCACCGTGCCCAGACAACTGGGTATTATTATCACCATATTTCTGAAGAGGAGGTCAAGAGAGCTTAAGTAATTTTCCAGAGGTTACTCAGCTAATAAATGTTAAAGCTTTTATGTAGGTCTGGAAAGTATATTCATAGGACTAGATCATCTCAAAAGGAAGCATACGCCAAGTCAAGGTGGAACCATCTGATATGAACCATCCAACCATTTTCATAGTCAAATATTGTCTTTTTCTTTAAATTTTTTTTTTTCTGTTTTCACTGATTGTAGTATTTAATCACCACTTACTTTCCAGGCTTCTTCGTTGCTGGCATAAGCAAGCTACCGTTAAAATGACAAAAGTGTGTCAATAGTTTAGACACACACTTTGATTGATTGTACTGCTTCTTGTTTGAGATATATATAATAAACTTTCGATTCAAAATCGGACATTTCAAAAAAAAAGAAAACTTTATGCCAGGTTAAGATGGTTTTTTGACAACCCAATGTGTAGATTTAGTCTACTTTTCTTACTGATCTCATAGCTCTGATTTTTTTTCTAAACTGTCAAAGTATCAGAATTGTTACAAAGTATTCTGTCTTTCCTAGTCCGTTTTCCTCTGAGAGCATGAACTTGGACAAGGCTCAAGGCAAAGGAGTTTTATTGGACTTTAGGGACAATATGATACCTTCAAGAAAGGTGTTAAAATCAAAGGAGAGATTTTACAAATAGCATTAATGGGGATTTTAAAGAATTAGTATAAATATTTTTGACTGGGGAAACTTAATTCATTAAATACTTTAAAAAAGAATTTGAAGTGGTATTCTTTAGAGGGATGGTATAATGGTAAAGCCCTTCTGTCAAGTATGTGATGAACTGAGTCGTTTCTGAGAGTCCTTTTTGTGCTTAAGATCTTATGGTAAAAGTTTTTGAAGAATCATATTTCAAGAAGTTTTGCTCCTTCTTCCACATTAGCATCGTCACGTACTAAGAAACAGATACCTAGTGAAGCTTCTGCTGGAAGTGGAAGAGACACATCAGACATAGCACAAAATTGGTCATTGCAAGATCATTATAGAATGTATTCACCCATAATATACCAAGCCCTTTGTGAGCATGTGCAGACTCAAATGTCACTGATGAATAATTTGGCTGCAAAGAACACCAGTGGAATTCCTCCTGTACCTTGCCATTCTGTGTCTCTTTCTGGTTAGTATGAATGATGTTTTTAAAAGTGTGAATATAAACTCTAATTAAATTGCTTTGTTATTATATAAGCAATATGAAATGTCAATGATTTTATCTCCCTCTTACCTTTTAGAATCTCAGGCAACTCCACATTCTAATTATGGCTTATGTACCTTCACCCCAGTCTGGTCACCTCAGCGACCACCCTGCCCTCCAGTGGTTCATTCAGTGAGTATAGTTTGTAGACCTCACAAGTAACTGCATGTAGAAACTGTCATCTTAGGAGGGAATATTAAATTTACTGATTGTATTTTAATGCACTAGGATGTAAAGACCAATTTTTTTTCAAGTTTTTTTTTATTAGAAAAGTTTTTACCTATTATTGATGACAATAATGAAGGAGAAAGAGGGGTAGAGATCAGTAGAAAAAAAATCAACCATACCCACCACCCAAGCACAACTACTGTTAACAAAGTGATAGCATGCTTTCTAATTATTTCTCTATGTAGATTTTAGTTTCTGGTTTTTATTTGTTAAGTTTGCTTCCTTTTAAAAATAAACTTATAATTAAATTTTATATAGTTGTACATACTGCTTCTTTTCACTTAAAATTTTATTAAAGTTTTCTCTATTAATAAATACCTTCTGTAAATTTTTAATAGTAGTTAATACTGTATTTTTTGAATATACTATAGTCTGTGTAACTACTCCTGTATGGTCAGACATTTAAAAAACAGCCAGTTTTTCACTACTATACCATTTCTGTACCTGTGTTTGTGCAAAAGCTTTTTGTGTGTTTGAGCTTATTTTCTTACAGTGCAATTTCCCAAAGTGTTAATGTTTGTTTTAGTCCCAAAGTGGACTGATTTTGATGCCTTTAAACCATGTGTGGTATTTTAGTCATGGCCTTATAATGTTCCCATATTGCAGAGTCAACTAGGTAAGCTTTAAAAAACAAGAATCTTTATTTTGCTGAAGAGAAATAGAGCTTACTTTTATGCTGAAAATATTAGAAAGTCATTTTCTAATATTTCTAATATTTCTGGTTTAAGTTTGTTATAATTACTGCCTACAAGTGAGTACTTAAACTTCTGAAGGCTTCACTTGTTTTTTTTTCTTTCTTTAGGAAGTTCAAACAGATGGTGACAACCAGTTTGCATCACAAAGTAAAACAGTTTCTGCGAATTGTGCTGGTGGTCTAAGGAATTCATTTAATACCATTCCTGGAGTTCCATGTAGCCTGCCCCAAACTGACATATCAGCTATTCCAACATTTCAGCACCTAGGCCTGGCTAATGGGATTCTGCCACAGCAAGGAGTTCCTAAGGAAGCAGACCTACTAAAATGTTTTCAAACATACATGTCTCTGTTTCAATCTCATGGAAAAGAAACTCATTCAAATGGTCAGATACACCGAAGCCCCACTCAATCACAGCCAGCCTTCTTGTCCACTAATGAAGAAAAATGTGCCAGAGGACAAATTAGAGAGGCCACAACTGAAGGAAAGGATTTAAACGTACGTGTGCGAGATGCAAGCATAGTCAAGGATGTACAGAAGGCAAAAAATGTGAACCAGACTTCTGAAAAAGTTAGAACTATAAAGTATTTGTTGGGAGAACTCAAGGCCCTGGTAGCAGAACAAGGTAGATGAATACTTTCTTATAATTTTCTTTAGGATGGTGTTATACTAAATAGCAATGTCTTGTTATTTAGTCATCATTTAAATTTAGAATAATTGACATGGAGTTTGTGGTATTTTCCATAGAATGAGTTCGGCCTGTTGTATTCTTATTTTTTAGGTTTTGATCCCTTCTTTCCTATAGATTTGAAATGTGTTAGGGAATATCAAACATTCAGTCTTTTGCTTATAAGTGTGTGCTCATTCTACTTGATAATGGACCATGAAAAGATTCAACCAAGAGAATTTGTACAGATAAAATTTTAATCATTAGAGGACCCCTAAAGATGACTAACTCTCTCTAACAGACTGATTATTTTTTCCTATTTTAAAAGATGCAGATTTCCTTTGCATCATTTCTTTAATAAGCAACTGTTATATTGTTTAACAAATCTCACTTTGAGAAGTAACCCAAAACTTTTTATGCCTTTTTCAGTTTATTTTTAGAATTTTTTCCCTTAAATCAGGAAAAATGTCTTTGAGCCAGGTTATATTCATTTGTTTTTATTCTGTATGTATATTCTAAAGTAAGGGATTTTGCTTAGAATGAGTTATACATTTGTCATCTTGGAAAATATGGTAATTGATTATGGAAGCACTGATTAAATAAATAACATTAAAATAAAATTTATATAATGCATTATAATGTAATTTTCCTTAAATTTTACAAAATTGCAGTAGACTTTTTCTGTTACTATATTTTAGAAAGTGTTATCTAGACTACTTTCTAACCATTGGTGAAAACTGAAGTTTTAAAATAAAGATACAATATTAAAAAAATAATAATAACATTTGCAGACTGACCAAAAAAAAAATCTTAAAATGCTGTATGCATGTTGAACATCAGAGGTTTAGTGTATTAAAATTGCTGTGTTTTTAGACTTTCAACTTACTACCATTCTCATAATAAAATACTTAATCATGATAACAGTAATATCATTAGCTATCATTTATTGAACACTTAACCATGTGCCCGGCACTGTGCTAAGTGTTTTATATGCATTATCTTGTTTAATCCTCACAGCAACCCTATGTGGTACTATTACTGCTCCCATTTTACAGATGAGGAAACTGAGGCTTGGAGTACAGTATCTCATTTAATCTTCTCAACAATCCTGTGAGGTACTGTTTTTATCTCCATTTAACCATGAAAAAACTCAGGCTTCCAGAATTAAGTAATTTAGATGTTGGTGAAAGGATACAAAATTTCAGTTAGATAGAAGGAAAAAGTTGAAGAGATCTATTGCACAACATTGTGACTATAGTTAATAACAATGTATTGTATTCTTGAAAATTGCTAAAAGAGTAGATTTTAAGTGTTTTCACCACAAAAAAATGATAAATATGTAAGGTAATGCATATGTTAATTAGCTCAGTTTGACCATTTCACAACATATACATATTTCAAAACAATATACTGTATGTGATAAATAATACAATTTTTATTTGTCAATTTAAATAAATAATTTGAAAAAGATTAACTTGTAAAAAGAACAAAAGAATTACGTAATTTGACAAAGGTTATGTCCCTAGAGAGTGGTGGAGCCCAGGTCTGCCTGTTTTAAAGCCCATGAGCAAAACTACTCTACAGAAGATTAGTAGAAGATTGCTTGGTAATTGGGCACAGTTATTTACTGTGTGCATGTACTTTTCATCAGGATGTAAAAACACTTGTGGAACTGAAAAAAAAAATTTTTTTGAGACAGTCTCGCTCTGTTGCCCTGGCTAGACTACTGTGGCATCATCATAGCTCACTGCAAACTCAAAACTCCTGGGCTCAAGTGATCCTCTTGCTTCAGCCTTTGGAGTAGTTGGGACAACAGGTGTGTGCCACCACACCCAGCTAATATTTTCTATTTTGTTTAGAGATAGGGGTCTTGCACTTACTCAGGCTGGTCTTGAACTCCTGGGCTCTAGTGATCCTCCTGCCTTGGCCTCCCAAAGTGCTAGGATTACAGGTGTGAGCCACCATGCCCAGCCACTAGATAAATTTTTGTACTTTAGAATATATTTTTGACCTCTTTTGGATATTAGTTAATATGTAATTTTAAATACTTTCAGTCTATAGATATTTGAATGGGAACAAGGAGACAAAAATAAAAAGATGGAAGAACTAATATCTCCCTCTTATACCTGTGTCTGTTTGCCACCTCCAAAAACATCCACTTTCCACAATTAGTAACAGAAATGGTACTCCTTTTGACATCACGTCAAATGAGGTGTGGCTGGTTGTGTTAAATCTACTTTAGAAAGTTAAATAATGAAACCTTATCCTAGCAGACCTCACTCAATAAAGTAAATTTTTTGATTATGCCAGGATCAAAGGGTATATTGTAATTGTTAATATTATAACCAATTATAGGAAACCCTATAGCAAGCAATCATAGGAGGCTTTTATAGTCCTTTGGTAAGTATGAACTAGGAGATATGTAAACCACATTCCTACTTGTCTCTTTAACTGAACAAAACCTGTGATTTAATCATAATAATCCTGTGATTTAAGATTAATTTTTACTGAACTTAATTTCTTTACAATTGTTCTGACTAAACAAATAAGCAGCAGGAAAGAGGAAAATAGAATGTGTATAAAAAATTCATAAATAATTGAGTTGAATTTATTTATAGTAAGTATGTACATGTGTATAAAGAGTTTTTTTGGTAAAATGTAATAATCTACAATACAGTTTTTACTCTTTTTTCTGACTTTTATAGAAGATTCAGAAATTCAAAGGTTGGTTACAGAAGTAGAGGCATATGTATCTGTGCTTCCAGCAGTAAATGGCTACACAGATATCCAAGTTGAAATAGCACTGGCCATGCAACCATTAAGAAGTGAAAATGCTCAGTTACGAAGGTAAGAATTGCTCTTTGATTATTTTGTCTGTATGCAAAGATGTCTCATGGCCAGAACAAAGGTGCCAAATGAGAGATCTAGGACTTCATAAGGAGAATAGATTTGCTGTCCTAACTGTATTTCTACTTTTTCTTTCCCATTTTCCAAAGATTTCCAGCATTCTCTAACTCTTTTATTACTTCTGTACACTAGTACATATTTTTTTCCATGTTATCTACCTCTGTTGTCACTTAATTGGTAGTATGTAGGCAGGAAAATGAAGTACCTCAATGTATATATCAGGCTAGTTTCTAGGTTATGCTGCAGTAACAAACTTCTAAATCTCAGTGGCATAGCACAGCAAAAGTTTATTTCTCCCCCATGCCAAGACCAACATGGGTCATTGGAGGCACTCTGTAATCCTATGCTTCAGGATCCAGGTTCCTTCTGTTTTACAAAGCCACTGTCTCAGTATGTGTTTTCCAGAAAAAAGAGAATGTGGATATGGCAACAGGGCATTCTTACATGTCCTGGCCCAGAAGTGATGGTCTGACTACCACATATATTTCATAGACTAAAACAAGGCACATGGCCCTGCCTAATAGAAATGTCTGGGACATTACTTTGGAAAACAAAACTGTTTTTCCTCTGCTCTCACACCACAACAATCAACACAGAACACTACTATGACCAAATGTGTGGGAATTTCTCCCCACCAGCAAGCAAGCAGTTAGTTCTACAGCAGAAACCAGCTGGGTGTCCTCCAATTCAATTCCAACACTATCCATCTGGAGATAGGGTCAGACTCTATAGGTTGAAGACTCAGTCTTACAAGATTGAGCCCCACTTCCCAAGCTGATAGTAAGCCCCAGGTTATTTTACCTGTGTTTCTGACCTACTGGCTATAAATTGAGGTTCTCCTAACACCCTCCTTGAGTTTGATTAATTTTCTAGAGCAGCTCACAGAGCTCAAGGAAATACTTTTGTTTACCAGTTTATTATAAAGGATATTACAAAGGATACAGATGAAGAGATGCACAGGGCAAGGTATGGGATAAGGGGTATGGAGCTTCTATGCCCTCTCTAAGTGTGCCATCCTCCAGGAACCTCCACATGTTCAGCTATCTGGAAGCTCTTTGTAACTGTCTTCTTGGGCCTTTTTTCCTTTTTTTTTTTTTTTTTTTTGAGACAGAGTCTCGCTTTGTTGCCCAGGCTAGAGTGAGTGCCGTGGCGTCAGCCTAGCTCACAGCAGCCTCAAACTCCTGGGCTCAAGGGATCCTCCTGCCTCAGCCTCCCAAGTAGCTGGGACTACAGGCATGTGCCACCATGCCCGGCTAATTTTTTGTATATATTAGTTGGCCAATTAATTTCTATTTATAGTAGAGACGGGGTCTCGCTCTTGCTCAGGCTGGTTTCGAACTCCTGACCTCGAGCAATCCGCCCGCCTCGGCCTCCCAGAGAGCTAGGATTACAGGCGTGAGCCACCGCGCCCGGCCTTCTTGGGCCTTTTATGGAGACTTCATTGGATAGGTGTTACTAAAGCATGGACAATTGTGTAGAAATGTGATTGGACAAAAGGGGCATGATCTGATACTAACAGGCTGAGTGGGGAAACTCAGCAAGCCTATCTGTTGAGATTCTTCTTGGCCTCTCTGTATAGCATTCCTTCCTCCCAGGTATGGAGCAGGATGCCTCTGAAATGGGGGTCTTGTGACCTATAATCACACAAGGTAGGTGAGAGAATTTCTTGATGGACACCTCTGAGACAGAAAGGCAGGGGAATATTAGAGTATAATTTTAGTTTCTATGACCTGCCTTGTGGGAGAAAAAGGAACAGGTAAAAGGAGGGCAGGGGAAGGTCAGAGAGAGCTGAGGCCTGCTTCTGAGGCTTAAAGTGCCCCAATATTAATTAATAAAAGACCATCTTTCACCTTTATCACTTGGAAGCTGATCTGAAGCTGCTTTGGGAACCAAGGACAAAATAGCCAAATACTTTAACAAAAAATATGCTTATTATTTTAGTTAGGAAATAATAAGGGTTATGGGAATTAGGAGCCAGAAACCATGGATGAAAACATATATATATATATCTCACATGAGCCATAGACATTGTATAAGATAGGACCGGCAGGGACCTGCACAAATTTTCAAGAAACTAGAAAACAATTAAATAGAATTCCTAGTTGGAGAGTAGCTTAAATGTACTAATCTGGAGCCTGCAAAGGCATGATACCTAGTGAGATTTACGTGTTTATGATTATTTTACTAGAGATTATTAGCCTGTAGTTACTATGATAAAAGATGGAGTTGCTAGGTTTAAATTCTAATAATAATGTCTTCAATCCTGACCTAAGGGATACCTATAACAGCATTAATTTTTCAAAATCAAAAATAAGAATAAATAATAATAATGGTAATGAACAGCAAATACTATTAACAATTATTAAATGTTTGTTATGTGCTAGGCTGTTATCCTTTACATGTGTCATCTCTTCAGATTCTCACCACGGCTCTATCAAGTAGGTGTTATTATTCTCATTTACAGATGAGGAATCCAAGTCATAGAGAGTTCACGTAACTTGCCCCAGGTTACATGTCCATGAAGTTACAGAGTTAAGACTCACACCCAGGCAATTTGATTTCAGAGCACAGTGGTCTTAACTACATTGTAGACTTCTACACTGTCTCCACTAGAAAGTAGAGACTTATTTATACTTCACTATTTAGGTGTATTTTGGGGAACAAAAAGATATAGTATAAGCAATTCAAAAAAGTATATTATTTAAAGGAATGAGAGTCAAATAATTGGTTTCTTAAAGAAACATACCAAAACTTAGTCTCAGAATATTATCTCTTTTAACACTGTCACCATGGGAAAGATCAATGGTTCTTATTCATTTCTGTTCCTTAGAACATTTTAGAGTTGCCTTAGGAGCTAATTTATAAACCATTCAAGAAACTGAGATTTACTGTTTTATGAGCTACCACTTATTTTTAATTTTTTAAAAAGGTATTAGTTTGATGTCTAGTCTAATTCTTCATACTTGGCACCAGAGCTTTTGGCTGTCTGTCCTTAGAGGACAAAGATTACATAGCATGCTATTGCCACTGTTGTTTACTCAACCTTCTAAAAGATGAAATTACTGAAAAATCAAGAGTTTATTAGATATGCTTCTTTTAGCAGAATGAGGTTTCCAGCAGCAGTGTAGGAATTTTGGTGCCACTTGGTAATCTTTATTGGAAAGAATTATCCATAATCTCCATTACAAATAAAAGTTGGAATGCATAGGGTTTTCAAAGTGTTTTTCATCATTTTCAACTAAAAAAATTTTTTTTCTATTTAGGCGTTTGGGCTATATGTTTCTTTTTAGCCAGAAAAGTAATCTTTGAGGACTTTGTTGGAGGTTATTGCCATCTTGTGGCTTCAAAAAAAATTGCTAGGTGCATTATTTCTATGGCATCTTGACATTTTTGGCTTTTAGGCTGGACAGTTTTTGTGTGCCTTCTTACACAGTTTTTCAACATTTAGCCATCCTGATCCCCACCCACTAAATGTCTGTAGTGCCCTGTTTGTTTTGAACACCGAAAAGCCCTGGCACATTCCCAAATTTCCATGATGGGAGTTGAGGGGGAAGGTATTACTTTCAATTAAGAGGCATTGAGCTAGAGAGTACCTTAATATGTATAGGGCAAGTGAAAAATCATGACCAATTCCTGATTTTATACTGAAATATGAAACCTTTATGTACCCACTCAGAACCAAAAAATGAAATGAGAGTGAATTGGAGGAGTCAAGCATGGCATTCAGGTTTTTGTTCTTATAATTCAACAGATGGTAACATAATTCTTCCAGGTGGGAGCTTCTAGAGGAAGAATATATTTGTGTCTCTGTTTGTTTATTTCATCTTATTTTTGAGTTAGGAGAGCTGCCAGTTAAGATTTAGCTGAATATATCATTTTATTTTAGGTCATCTGGAGATATATATGATAGAAGTCTGGCGCACAGGAACATGATCCAGGATAGAAATGTAGACTTGGGAGTTAGTCCCTGAACGTGTTTTTATGGAGCTTTTACTATAGATCTGGCACTTTGTAGGCACTGCAGACAATGATGATTAAAAGCAGATGATTTGTTATCAACATATAAGTGGTCAATTCATCAAGAAAGTGTAGAGTGTGCACATAGTGAAAAGTGGATTGCTGGAGAATAACAGCTTTTTAAGGAAAGCACAGAGAAAGAGGAGCCTGTGAAAGAAGCTAGAGAAAGAGAAACAAGAGAAGTAACAGGAAAACTAGGAGAGTGACATCACAGAAGCCTATGGGAAGAAAAAAAAATTGTAGGAGATATTTTTGCATACCATTCAAAATAAACTGAGAATGGGGATAAAGGTAGGTCAAGAATAACCATCAGAAGACAAATCACCCAAAGAAAATCCAGGAAAACTTGAAACACCGTTTCATAGTCTTAAGAAAATTAGAAGTAATAGGATCTCTCAGAGGGAGAAAGAGAGAGATTGAGAGAAAGTACTTAAAGAAGAAAAACAGTAAAAGGAAAAGAAAAGTGGGTTAGGTAAACTCAGAAAAATAAAAGAGAAAAACAAAAAAATGCTATAAAAATGAAAGCCCAATTAGAAACAAACTAAAAATAATTAACAACAAAGAATCATGAAGTCATGGATATTATAGTCCACTAGAACTTAAATAATATGAAGACCGAATTGTTTTGTTTTGTTGGTTTCGGGTTTTTCCCCTCAAGTCATTTCATTTTAATTGCCACTAGATTCATAGTACGTTGTCTCCTATCAGACTTAGCCTATTTTTCTTCCTACACCCTTTAAAAAAATTTTATTGTGGTAAAATACATGTAACATTCATCTTTCTAATCATTTGTAAGTGTATATTTCGTTGGCAATAAATACATTCACAATGCAGTCATCACTATCTATGCCCAAAACTTTTTCATCCTTGACATAAATTCTGTACCCATTAAACATTAACTCCCCCCCTTCTCTCTTCCCTAA